GCAAATGTGACATATTCTTTTCTTTAAGCATTGATGCAAACATTTTCCTAAAATGTTTATTTACGATGTGTCTATGCTCATGTTGGAAATGAATGTATATTTTCCATTCTCATCATGTCTTTGTCTAGTGTGGATTTGTGGCTATAGCAGACTTAAGGAATTATGCAAAGCACATACTTGTTTTACAGTTATCTGGAAGTTTAGATAGGAGTCTAACTTATACATTTGTTAAAATTTGCCAACAAAGGTAAATGGAACTATTTTTATGTAAGACTTTTTTTTTTTTTTTTTGAGACAGTGTCCCTGTAGCCTCAGCTGGCCTGGGACTCTCTACGAAGACCAGGCTAGACTTGATTGCACAGAGATTTGCCCACTTCTGCCTCCCAAGTGGGATTAAGGCATATACCACCTCACCCTACTTTAAAACATTTCTTAATGATTGATTTAAAGACACTAGTATAAATGATTTGTATATATGCACATTTTTCTATCCCCTAGCTCTCAAGTGTGAATCAACTAACACTTAATGTCTTTAATCTTTCCAAAAGAGAACCTTTTACAATTTATTTCTCATTGGGAGAATTCAGAAAAAACAAGAGAGGCAAATGGAGCCTAAACAATTTGAATAAAATGATTTTTAAGCTTATATTTAATGTAAACATTACATATTTAATCAGTAATAAGGAAAAATAGCAAAAATTGGCTTAGAATTATTCAAACATTGTCTTTAGGAGTAAATACTTAAGTCATTTCATAAGATTTCCCATAATTGAGTTATAAACACATATGAAGAATTTGGTTTGTAATATATAATATGATTCTGAAAAATATAATCAATGAAATAATAACAGGGTAGACACCATCAGCACAGCAAGGCTCCCTGTCTTTGTGGTCAATCTTTCAATCCATGGTGTTTTGAAATGAAGATCAGAGTGGCTCTGTTTGCAAAATTTATAGTTGACAAAGACCTTGGAAAAATTGCAGACACATTGAGATGCAAGAAACATTATTTCATAAGATCTTGCCCTGGAAAAACACTGAGCTGAATCTCATAAAAAAAAAAAAGTACTTAAAAGTGTAAGTAAGAACTTATGTAAGCTTAAAAGAACAACTGGAAACTCAGAATGCAGCAGAAATTGTTGGATATACTGAAAGAAACTTCATTTAAAAAAAAGCTTTGAAGATTTAGTGAATGATAAGCTTGGTAGAAATTAAAGACGTGATTATGTGGCTGAAAAAATGTTGCCTTAGGCTTGTAAACAAGGAAAGGCATCTGTTTTAGTTCTTATAGAGGTGGAGTTAAGAAAATTATGGTCAAGTATGAACTGTACACTGTGTGGTGCTAACAAGCAAGCCAGAGAGAATATAAAAGAGGACAGGCCACGTAGACAAGAGACCAGGTGCATCTTGCAAAGCGACTCAGAATTCAGTCGTCATTTGCTGAGTTAGTGAACTAAGAGGGAGCCTAGCTGTTTTGACTGGAGAAGACAACAAGAGGCAGAGGGAGGAGCGGAGACACAATGAGTTAGTCTCATGAAAGCTCAGCATGTGAAAGAGGCCCAGGAGGAAGACTTTAGCCAAAATTGGGAGGCTGCATGGAAGGAACATCTAATTCACGGTAAGAACCAAATACTCCAAAGATAATGTGGGTTTTCTAAGGAAACAGCAAGTTCCCTGAAGCTAAAGAGATTCAGATAGAGGCCAGCAAGCATGATTATCATCATCACCATCTTAGCTAAATTTTCACTGAGAGCAAACTTTGCTGTGGTGTTATGTCATTGTCTCAAGGCCTATTTACACGTGAAGAAACCAAGGCTCAGAAAAAAGAAAATGCAGCCAACATTCAGTGGAGATCCAACTGTAGAAGCAGTTTTGGAGTGAAATGTCCAGGGCTTGACTCTTGCTTTTTACGTTCTCTAAGATTCAGCTGCCCAGCAATAAAATGGCACAGTGGCCATTTGTGGTTTCTGTGTACCAACTGTTGATTTACACAGCAGCCTAGATGCCTTCTGGAAGCCACTCCTTCTTGACTTCCCACTGATAGTCCTGCTACAGCTGATTTGTATCCCTTTTCAGAGGGTGGCTGATGATCTCAGCACAGACAATTGATACACAATATCCACTGGCAATGATATATTGGTTTAGAAATGGTCAGGTGGCCAGTGCCATATCAAAAAGAGAAAATGAGATTGGATATGGATTTTATGTAATTGGTACTCATGACAATGTGAGCTGGAGGGTATGAAGGTCCTCACCACGGAATGTGAAAGTAAAATAATCCACAGGAAGAGAGATGCGGCATGGCTTTTGGGACCATCACTGAACCCCAAGCCAAGTCAGAAGGGAAATCTGATGGATCCATGGACTTTTCATTCATGTGCCAATGAGTTCCTCCTCCTCTTCCTCCTCCTTCTCTTCCTCTTCTTCCTCCTCCTCCTCTTCCTTTTCCCCCTTCTCTTCCTCCTCTTCTTCCTGTTCCTCCTTCTCTTCTTGTTTTTTCCTCCTCTTCATCTTCTTCACTGAGTCATTTATACCTGAGTTTTCTGTTACTTAAAATACTACTAACTGGTAAAATGGGATAATCTAATTTCTGTTGTTGAGTTCTTATATTAAGTGATCTAATGGGTATAAATGGATTAATATGGTTGACATGAAAATTGTATGAAATAAACTCTATCATTATAATGTTGTAATGGTGTCATTGAGTGAATGATCATCAACTTATTTTGTGGGAGTAGAGGTACAGGAGAATGAAGATTAGAATACTACAAATCAAAGAAGTTCGAAAGGTGAAAAGACACTGCAGGTTAATCTGAAAAGCAATCCCAACAATGATTACTAAAGCCGTTTGGAGGAACTATCAGACACAGACTTGCAGAGCAACAAACTTACTTCTCAAAATCCCTTCTGTTCTACAACTCTCATGAGTGATGCTGGGGATTTAGAGTCATATCAGTCTTCAAAATCTAAACCCTGGAATGTGCAGCCCCCAACCATTCATGGTTCAATTTGCCATTCACTTTATGATAATTTTCCTAGTGTCAGATCAAATAAACCAAATCATTTGTTTATTTCAAATGCTTGCAGTGAATTTAGACTGTATTTTGTGTTTCAAAGATTTCTTTGTCATTGAAAGAGCATTAAAAAAGCTCCAAATGAATGAGCTAATTTCTTGGCAGCCATAAAGAGATAATTCATTAAAAAAATAAATCTGTTCCTTGCAAGTCTACTTATCATAGTTTTAAAATGTTTGGTGTGTGTATATGTTTGTAATTCCTATGAAATTTGTTTCAAAAAATGTTTCCAAGGTGGTTAAAAAAGCATAATTGCTTTTCTGGACTATCAGCAAATACAATCACATATAAAGTGAAATTAACAATTTAATACTGCAGCCAAAGAAAATTAGGGATGAAAACACTGACAAGTATTGTTAAGGGTGAGTCTTTCCAGGAGAGCACAGGCTGAGTGATGAACTTCCACTGTATCTGGCAATCAAACATATCTGGGCATATGGCAGACACTGTGGCAGACTGGTCTAGGGTGGCACTAAGGAACCTCCTTAGGATCATCTGATACTATGAGCTCAAGGTAGGGACACACCTTAGTCCTTGTAAGCAGTAGGCATTCTGAGAACTGGGAGACTATTTGTTGGTAATCTCAACTTCTAGGTGGATGGCTGATTTCAAGGAAGAGAAAGATGGGGCTATGGTTTTAGTTTAGTTTAGTTTTGTTTCCAGTAATGGAGATTGAATCTGTGCCTTGCTCATCCAGGTGAGAGCTTTACCATTGAGCTGCACATCTGCAAAGAGTTTTAGATAAGACAAAACTATGTATCTTACCACAAATGCACTAATGCAGCTTGTTGCTAGAAATGAGCAACCTGCTCAAGGCTTCTCCACCAGGGTGTAAGACTGGGGAGACTGACGACTGTTCTGCCAAAGGCTGACCACAGACTCAAGGTCTGAGGATTGGTGGCTCCTGAAGCTTCAGGTGAGTAATCAGAGACTACCATTCTGTCAAGACGGCATGGAGCCTCTGGACAGATTCTACTCCTGGCGCTCTACCATAGCTTTGAGCTAGCTAGTTGCACGGTAGGTGGTAGAGAATGCCACCACAGCATGCCCTACTGGGAAGCCTGGGCAAAAAACAGTGGGCTGTGAGCTGGCATGGGTACCTTGGGCAAAGAGCACATTCAAGACACCCTTGGAAATGACAAGAAATACTGGAACTTGCTCCGCAGGGGCTGAACATTTTGGGGGTTAAATTAGCAATGTATGAGCTGAGATATTATAGACTCTGGTGCATCATTAATAAGGACTGGGAATATCTGGGTGAATATCAAATAATATAATATATTCTTCTCTGACCCACAATCTATAAAAAGACAAAGACTGGTCTCTGATAGGTCTGAAACCAAAGGATAAAGACATATTTTGTGTGAATTAGTTTGATGGTCTCTTTGATCCAAATGTTATAACAAAAAAATGTGTCCTGATTATTTTTTGGTGGTGTTTGATGTACTTGTAAATCAATTCCAAATCATGATCACATCAAAGAATGTTCACATGTTTTCTGATGTATTTTATTTAACCAAAGCTATTTCTAACTTTTGGAAAACAAAGGGGAAAAATGCTTTGGCCTCTACAACTCATAGTAGAGAGGCCGCTCTTACTTTGTCCATGATAGAGACAGGCTCTCTACAGCCAGGAGTTAGACATGTTGACTAGAATCATGGCCAAAATAGCCCTCCAGACTGAGAATGCAGAGTTGGTAGGGAGCTTATAACTCCTCAGTGACTGTAAGTAATTTATCTTCCAGGTGAAAAGACAGTCAACCAGCTACAGTGACTTTAGGTCATGGTCACAAGTCAACTAGTGGCAGAGCAGAAAATCTAACGTGCCCTTCAGTGTGCTGGGCCTCCCTATGACCAGCCATAAATGATTCATGAAATTACTTTTAAACCACTCAGACATGTTCCCAGCTCTGCCTTGGCACTGTACCTTGGAGTATGCTCTTTATTATCAGCTCTGTGTGATCAGCCAGGAGCTCGGCCTTGGTGATGGCAGCCAGGGACAGGTAGTTAGACATGTTCCTGCACAACTCCTTGTTACCTCTGTGGAGGAATTTCACTGCGATGGGGATGGCTAATACCATCACAGGGGTCCGGTTATAATTCTGAGGAAATATAAGAGAGCAACAAACAAGTGACTGATTGTTCATTCATTATCCATTCACCCAAAAAATATTTATCAAGCTAAGCTCCCAAAGTTACAGCTGTGAAAACACAGGCCGTGGCCTGTTTACATGGTATGTGGCACCCTTGGTCTTATAGGGGGTTTAGAGGCACTACTAAAGGCATACTAAGTGGAGGGTACCGAGGGAAAAAAGAAAGAGCACCCATCCAGTCAGGGGGTGTCAAGAGAGACTTTCAGGAGGTGGGGGCATCTTAGTTTAGACTGAAGAGATAGACAGGAGATGGCTGGGTATAGGAAGGGAATGGGAAGAAAGAACTGCTATGGAGACACAGAGGTGAGGGAGCTCTTGGACCATCTGGGGAGCCGTAAATAAGTCAACGTGGCTGGAATGTGTTATATGTGAGGAAACTGGGGGAACAGGAAAGGCCAACAACTGCATGGTTATACAAGCTTGGCTGAGCAGTTTGGAATTAATCCTGAGGGCAACCAGGAGTCACCCAGGAGAGGAAGAGCTCATTAGAGTCATATTTGAAGGAAAATAACCAAAGGAATGTTGACAAGTTGCAGTCTGTTTCTTAAAAACTAAAGTTTAAAATTTTTGTTGTTGTTTTCTAGAATCAATCAAGGGTGAATGGATGCAGAAAATGTGGTTTATATATACACTGGAATGATACTCATAAAAGAATGAAATCCTGTCACTTGCAGCAACAGCACATTGTAAGGTGGAACAAACTAGATATGAAAAGACAGCACTATATATTCTCACATGTGGAAGTTTAAAAAAGGTGATTTTATACAAATGGGACTGAAGGAGATCAGATAATGGGTACCAAAAATACTTATATAGGTAGGGCGAGAACTAATATTCAGCTTACCAGAAATGATAAACTTTCAAGGAGAGGAAATGCTAATTATCTTAATTTGATTATTATACATTGCATACATGTATTGACTTATCACACTGTATGGACAGGTATTATGTGTTAATTCAAAAAATCCTAAAATTTTAGCTAGTGAGATTCAAAAGAAAAAATAAACATAAAACTAAAACCTGAGCTGGGCGTGGTGGTGCACTCCTGTAGGCCCAGCACTTGGGAGGCAGAGGCAGGCGGAGCTTTGTGAGTTCAAGGCCAGCCTGGTCTACATAGTGAGTTCCAGGACAGCTGGGGCTACAGGGAGACACTGCTTCAAAAGGACAAAAACAAAAAACAACATAAAACAAAAAAACTAAAACCTGAAGGAATTTTGGATGCTACAAAAAAACAACATAAAACAAAAAAACTAAAACCTGAAGGAATTTTGGATGCTAAAATGATTCTCTTCTTGATTTATTTTGTGACTGATCATTCGTGTCTCCTAAATGCTGCTATCAGCATCTAGCCACTTAATTAGTGAATATTTGGAAGATACAAATTATTTTATGAGAAATAAATTGTATATAGTCACTACCACCAGCCCTACCAGTTAACCTATGGGCTGAACACAATGCACAATGTATTGGGGAACTAACTTCAAATGATTTTATTATAAATAATGAATGGTTATTTTTCTCTGTGTTATAAATACTTGTCATTCTACGTAGGGACTGGGCCTTCTACTAGTTCCTATAATTCCAGGTTTAAGGGAGGTCCTCAATAAACATAATAAACGGAATTATTAATGAAAAAAATGGGGTTGGAGAGATGGCTCAGTCAGTTAAGTATCTGCTGTCCAGAACCTGTTTAAAAAGCTGAATGTGGAACACGTGCCTGTAATCGCAGTGGGGGGTAAGCAGAGACAGGAGGAGTGCTGGGGCTTGTTGGCAAGCTAATCTTGCCAAATAGGTGAGGTTCAGGTTCAGTGAGAAGACCCCATGTCAAAAATTAAGAGGGACAGCAATACAGGAAGACACCTAACATTGAACCGTGGCCTCCCCATGCATGTGTGTGTACACACAGGAACATATGAACATAAATATAAAATATATAAACAGAAAAGAAAAAAAAGAAGATAATGTAAATCTGTTGTTGCCACTGGGAACATAACATGGTGGAAAGGGCACGTGATGGAAAACAGACTCTAGATTCCAACGTAGAAACTGCGAACTGTCCATCAGTGCCTGTTTCCTTCCACTGTTTTTTAATAATCAGCTGCTGAATTTCTGCTGGGGATGACACATGGTTACAGACAGTATTTCTCAGTCTTCCTTGCACTTAGAGGTGGACATGTGTAAAGATTCAGACAATGTGACAAAGTTGACATTAATATTTCAACTTCTAGGCTACCATTTTCATGAAATGACTTGTTTGTTTTGTTTTGTTTTGAGACAGGGTCTCTCTGTAGCTAGCTATGTAGATCAGGCTGGCCTTGTTCTCATGGAGATCTACCTGCCTCTGCTTCCAGAGTGCAGGGATTAAAGGCATGTGTCACCATGCCTGGTGTGACTTGGTTTTTACTCCCTTTTTCCATTTCAAGCTTGTTGGAACAAGGATTTGGTAATAAGGATTGAGGCAATAATCTTAGATCATGATGAAATTATATGTTTAGTAGTACAAAGAAAGTGGAAGGAACCACGATACCAGTCCTGGACTGACACGCCTGAACTGTTTGATGAGAGACAAAAAATGTCTTATATTGTATAGTTCACTGTTCTATTTAGGTAGCTAAGCCTGCATCCTGATTAGTACAATGTAAGCCAGGACCATATTCATTCTTAAAAATGTCCTCTCTAGCATATAGGGAAAGTTACATCTTTAAGCAGTATAAAATGTAGAATTTCACCTTAGCACAAATCTTACATTAAAGACCAAAGGAAAAGCAGGAGGCAAAGACAGCCACTGATATACAGGGTCTCTGAGCAATATTGTGTCATTTTGGATATGGAGCAGTTGTTCAAAAAGGATATTTACATGAGATAAAATAGCATCTTGACCTTTACACCAATCATAAAAATAAGTTCCAGACAAATTGCATATTTAAAAAATAAACAAAGGTTGAAAGAAAAGGATTCAACACCCCTGATGGCCTTGGGTCAGTGAAGATTTGTCTAAATCTAACTAAAAAAATCTTAACATAATAAAGAGAAAACTCATAAAGTGGATAAAAGTGCAAACTTTTAATCAGTCAATATCATTAAGACAGTAAAAAAATAATCAAAAGAATGACAAAATATTTGTAACATACTTATTCAACAAAAATTTACAAGCACCCAGAATATACACCAAGAAATTCCAAATAATTAAGAAAAAGACATGCAACCAAAGGAAAAACTAGGCAGAAGATTTGAATAGATAATTTACAAAACAAGATACAGAAATAGTCCAAACACGTGAAAATTTGCTCAATTGCATTAAACATTAATTCTAGTCTGGATTCTAACTACAAAGGATTTTGTTTAGTGGGAAATCAAGATATGATATGAGCTCTTTTATGAAAAAGAGGCACAGTCATATACATTCAGACTTCAGTTGTTTTTAAAGTAGACTCAAAAGTTAGTATAAGCATAGAATTGAATATTGTATCTTAAACTAGACACCTCCTATCTTAAGATTTTGTAAATGATCATGGCCTGCAGTGGTGGCAGCAAGCCAGTCATTAGTATAATAGTGGTGAGACAGTGTCAAGATGAGTCACTGTTCACACCGAGTATGTGAGTCAAGCAAAGGAAATGTGGCATGGCCGAGACTACTCATATGTTAGTGAATCTTGGGAGCCATAACATTGTAGCAGTCATATCTTGATATTTAGTCCATAAACACTTTCTTGATGTCACAGAAAATGTTATTGATGTGGCTTCTCTCCCACCCCCAGATCTCTAGACCTGTGCCTAACATCTATTCATCATTCTTTTGGAAATTCTACAATAATTCCTCTTGGAGGAGGTTTCAGGTACTTCTAATAATGGCATTTGCACCCTTGGTCTCCTGAGTGATTAACTGACTCAAAATATGGCCTACCAGAGAGTCACATGCCCCTAGTCCAAATAATGGTCAAGATTAAGCACTTTACTCAGTTGAGTTAAGGAGACTTGAAATGGCTCTGTGGTTAGGATTCTGTCTCTCTTGCTGGACTGAAGCCTCAGAGAAGGGCAGATTAAGAGTAGGTGCCAGCATCATGTGGCCTTTGTAGGTAGAGAGAGAACCTATATGAAACTTGAAGTCAGAGAGACAAGCTGTGAGAAATCAGGTTCTGTTAAATACCATTTGAGCTCCATGGTATAGCATGTACCTAATCCATCTCTATTCCTAAATTTTTCTAAATGAGTCAATTAAATATCTTTTTCTTAAGCTTACTAACTTCCCTAGCCAGTAGGAACAAAAATGTTTGATAATTAAAAAACATTTTTATTAATTCTTTGAGAATTTCATACAATGTATTTTGATCATATTCACTTTC